CCTTCCTGTCTTCCTTCCTTCCTTCCCTCCTGTCTTCCTGCCTTCTTTTTGAAATGTGGCACTAGCCTGTTTCTGTTGATTCTTCGGGAGGAATACCTGTTTCCTGCAGATGAATTTTATCTCTTAAGAAAAGAGAAAATACTCTAAATAATTGAGTAGAGTAAGATACATCCACATTCCATATAATATCTTTTATTTGAATAATAGACTTGATTCTACAAAACTTAATCAAAATGGGATTACGCAAAGCTTAGCATCACACAGGAAAAAGTTTATAGATGTTCCTGGAGAATTCTATCAAGAGCTATTATGCCATAAATAAAGAAAAAAGGTAAAATAAGACTCAAAACTTAGCAATAGTAAGAATGGCCTGAAATTTGCTTAGCCGTTTGATGTATATGTATATATTTACACATGATATTTCCATTTAGATCCAATTGTATTAGAAAATGATTTGGTTTTCTGTATTTTGTTATATAAATGAGTGGCTTGATTTGAACCTAAAAATAAAATACAGTATTCAAAATATAATGTAAAATACTACATATATACTAATCCCAGCCAAAGTCTATACAGTCTAGTTATCAGGCTGAATGCTCTCATTATCCTTAAGTTTCTTTAAATCTAATCTTAATTCTAAAATAAAAATTTGAAGCCAAGTTATAAAAAACAAAGCACTCTATCGTCCCTCTTATAGCAAGATAATTCAAAGAAACTAAAAATTAAACACTGAAAGCTATCATCTGGTTAAATGCAAATAACTCAAAAATGTATAGATACATTTTAAAAGCTCCTACTTGCAAAGACAATCACCAATTGTACTGCTGAATCTGTACAGAGAAGGGTAACCGGAGAATTCATTTTTAAAGTATACACCATTCAAGATGAAAAATAAAGAAAAATTTAAGCAGCCATTAAGTAAATTTGAATATAAGTTATGCTCATATATTTATAGTTATTTGTTCTAATATATAACATAAGATTATATCTTTATTCAAATATTATATATATAAAACATACACATTTAATTTAAAAAACACATAAACCAGTAAATAAATGCAACCGTGTATCATGATTTGTATATCTAACCTGCCTGACAAATATTTTGAGAGAATTTCTTGTTTTTACAGCGTGTAAAGGAAAGTTACTGGAAACAGGAATTGACTAAAGATATAAAATACTTGAACAGTACTATCAATTAACTTGATATATTGGCAATTATAAAATACTGGCAAAATGCACATCCTTTTCTCATGTACATGGAACATTCACCAAGACAGATCAGATACCATCCTACAAAACAAGTCATCAAGATAGATCCTATTCTGGACCAAAAAGAAACCTCAATCAATTTAAAAGTACTAAATCATACAAGATACAGAGTATTTCTCTGATTACAAGAGAAACTAGAAATTATTTTAAAAAAATAGAAAGTTCGCAATATTTGGAAATTAAGTATTACACTTGCAAACAACCCATGGTTCAAAGAAAGAATCACATGGAAAATTAGAAAAAATTTTTAACTGAGTGAAAATAAAAATGAAATACTAAAATTTATAAGAGATAGCTAAAACAGTGAGAAATTTACAGCTTAAATACTGTGGTTATTAAAAAGGATGAAGGTCTAAAAAATCAAAGATCTAAGCTTCTATCTTAAGAAGCTAGTAAAAGACAAGGAAATTAAACCTAATATAAGTAGAATAAATAATAGAAAATAAGAGGTAAATTAATAAAATAGAAAACATATAAACAATAGAGAAAATTAATGGGAGTATGTTCTGGCTTTTCGAAAGATCGAGAAAAAACTGATAAACCTCCAACTAGGCTGAAGAGAGAGAAAAAAGATATGTTACCAATATCCAACATGAAAGAAAAGCTATCATTACCAATTCTAAAGACATTGAAAGGACAATGAAATAATAGGAATTTATAATGATAAATATGACAATTTAGCAGTAATGAACAACTTGTTTGACTGATACAGATTGCCAAAACTGAAACAAACAAAAGAATAATTCTGACCCACAAAATAAAAA